GTGGGATGGTCAATAGATAGTTGGAAATATGGCTCTAGACTTCAGGAAACTGTCTAGGCTACAGGAGGCATTTGTAGTGATGGAGACAGATGAAATCTCCAAGAAAGAAAGTGTAGAGTATAATGAGGGCCAATGGCACAGCCTCAGAGAGCTTAGGAGAGTGGAGAATAGTGTGGTGGTGTGAGGAAAAAGAGAAGCCTGTAAAGGATGAAAATAAATGCTTAGAGAGGTTGTAGGAGGATAGAGTTGGACAACATCGTGGAGGCCTCAGGAAGATTCATTTTTCAAGCAGAAAGAGGTATTCAGCAATATTAAGTAATCCAGAGAACTTAAGATGGTAGGGCTGGAAAATAAGTCAATAAATTTGATCATTGGAAGTTATTGGTGTGCTATAGTAAAATATGAGTCGGGGCTGACTCGACGGCAAATAACAACAACAACAAAATAGTAAAATAATCCACCACTTGTCTTGTCAGTTTGTCATACTTGCACGTTGCTGTGAGGTATCTTTCTTGCACATTGCTGTGAGGCTGGAGGCTGTGCCACCAGTATTTCAAATACCAGCAGGGTCACCCATGGTGAACTGGTTTCAGTGGAGCTTCCAGACTAAGACTCAGAAGAAAGAAGGGGCCATCCACTTTTCAAAGACTTGGCTAGTGAAAACCTTATAAATAGCAGTAAAACACTGTTTGATATATTACTGAAAAACTTTATACATAGCCCTGAAACATTGTCTGACACAGTGCTGGAAGGTGAGCCCCTCAGGCCAGTAGGTACTCAAAATACAACTGGGGAAGAGTTGCCTCCTTAGAGTAGAATCAACCTTAATGATGTGGATGGAGTAAAGCTTTCAGGGCCCTGTTTGCTGACATGGCATGACTCAAAATGGGAAGAAACAGCTGCAAGCATCCATTAATAATCAGAACATGGAACGTATGAAGTATGAATCTAGGAAAATTGGAAGTTGTCAAAGATGAAATGGAACACATAAAGACTGATATCCTTGGCATTAGTTACCTGAAATGGACTGATTTTGGCCATGATGAATCACAACAACCATGTGATCTACTGTGCCAGAAATGACAAACTGAAGAGGAATGACATGGCATTCATATCACAAAGGATGTTTCAAGATCTATCCTGAAGTGCAATGCTGTCAGTACTAGGATAATATCCATACGCCTACAAGGAAGGCAGATTAATACTACTATTATTCAAATTTATGCACCAACCACCAAAGCCCAAGATGAGCAAATTGAAGATTTTTGCCAACTTCTGCAGTCTGAAATTGACCAAGCATGCAATCAAAATGTGTTGATTATTACTGGTGATTGGATGCAAAAGTCAGAAACAAAGATGAATCATCGACAGTTGGAAAATATGGCCTTGGTGTTAGAAATGACATCAGATATCACATGATAGAATTTTACAAAACCAATGACTTACTCATTGCAAAAACCTTTTATCAACAACATAAGTGATGGCTATACACATGGACTTTGCCAGATGGAGTACACAGGAATCAGATCAACTACATCTGTTGTAAGAAGTGATGGAGAAGCTCAATATCTTCAGCCAAAACAAGGCCAGGAGCTGACTCTGGAACAGACTATCAATTGGTCATATGCGAGATCAGGTTGAAGCTGAAGACAGTTAAAACAAGTCCATGGGAGCCAAAATATGACCTTGATTATATCCCTCTTGAATTTAGAGACCATCTAAAGAATAGATTTGATGCATTGAACACCAAGGACCAAAAACCAGGTGAATTGTGGGATGACATCAAGAACATCATCCATGAAGAAAGCAAAAGGTCATTTAAAAAAACATGAATGGAAGAAAAGACCAAATGGATGTCAGAAAAGACTCTGAAATTTGCCCTTGAACAGAGAGAAGCTAAAACAAATGGAAGAAATGACAAAGAAGCTGAAAAGAAGATTTCAAAGAGCAGGTAGAGAAGACAAAATTAATTATTGTAATGAAATTAGCAAAGACCTGGAATTAGAAAACCAAACGGGAAGAACACACTTGGCATTTCTCAAGCTGAAAGAACTGAAGAAAAAATTTGAAACTTGAGTTACCATATTGAAAATTCTATGGGCAAAATATTGAATGATGCAGGAAATATCAAAAGAAGGTGGAAGGAATACACAAAGTAGTGACTGTGTAACCAAAAAGAATTGGTCGATGTTCATCCATTTCAGGAGGTGGCATATGATCAAGAACCAATGGTGTTGAAGGAAGAAGTTGAAGTTGCATTGAGGGAGTTGGTGAAAAACAAGGCTCCAGGAATTGATGGAATACCCGCTGAGATGTTTCAACAAACGGATGCCGTGCTGGAGTCACTCACTTGTCTATAGCAAGAAATTTGTCAGTTGTCTGGCTTACTGATGGGAATAGATCCATATTTGTACCCATTCCAAGGAAAGATGATCCTACAGATGTGGAAATTATCATTAATATCGCATGCAAATAAAATCTTGCTGAAGGTAATTCAAAAACAGTTGCAGCAATACATTGACAGAGAACTTCCAGAAATGCTAGCTGGAGTTAGAAGAGGACATGGAACGAGGGATATCATTGCTGATGTAAGATGGATCTTGGCTGAAACCAAAGATATCAGAAAGATGTTTACTTGTGTTTTATTGACTATGCAAAAGCATTCACAACACATTATAAATAACACTGAGAAGAATGGGAATTCCAGAACACTTAATTGTGTTTGTGAGGAATCTGTACATAGACCAGGAGGCTGTTGTTCAAACAGAACAAGGGAATAGTTCATGATTTAATATCAGAAAGGGAGTGCATCAGAGTTATATCCTTTCACCATACTTGTTCAATCTGTGTGCTGAGCAAATAATCCAAGAAGCTGTACCATATGATGGAGAACGTGGCATCAGGATTGGAGGAAGACTCATTAACAACCTGCAATATGCAGATGACACTACCTTGCTTGTTGAATGTGAAGATGACATGAAGCACTTACTGATGAAGATTAAAGACTACAGTCAGCAGTATGGATTACACCTCAACATAAAGAAAACAAAAATCTTCACAACTGGACCACTTAGCGGCATCAGTATAAATGGAGAAAAGATTGGCTTTGTCAAAGATTTCATATTACTTGGTACCACAATCAACCCATGAAAGTGGCAGTCAAGAAATCAGACGATTTATTGCAATGGACAAATTGGCTGCAAAAGACCTCTTTAACGTGCTGAAAAGCAAAGATGTTTCTTTGAAGACTAAGGTGCACCTAACCCAAGGCATGGTATTTTCATTAGTCTCATATGCATGTGAAAGCTGGACAATGAATAAGGAAGACCAAAGAAGAGTTGATGCTTTTGAGTTGTGGTGTTGGAAAAAAATATTGAAAGTACCAGAACTGCCAGAAGAATGAACAAATCTGTTCTGGAAAAAGTGCGGCCAGAATGCTCCTTTGAAGTGAGAATGGCCAGACTTTGCTCACCTACTTTGGTCATGTCAGAAGGGACCATTCCCTGGAGAGGAATATCATTCTTGGTAAAGTGGCGGGTCACTGAAAAAGGGGAATGCCCTCAATGAGATGGATTGACACAGTGACTGCGACAATGGGCTCAGGTATCGTAAGGATTGTGAAGCTGGCACAGGACTGGGCATCATTTTGCTTTGTTGTACATACGGTCACTATGAGTTGGACCCAACTTGATGGCACCAACCAGCAACAACAACAACAGTAAGATAATGGGAGACAGACAACAAATTACAGTGTTGTAAAGAATTTCTCAAGAAGTCCTCATGTCACAGTGGTTATGCACTTGGCTGCTACCCAAAAGGTTGGCAGTTCGAACCCACCAGCTGTGTGGGAAAAAGATGTGGCAATCTGCATCTGTGAAGATTACAGCCTTGGAACCTCTGTAGGGTAGTTCTTCTTTGCCCTATAGGGTCAGTATGAGTTGGAGTTGATTCAATGGCAACAGGTTTGTTTTTGGTTTCAAGAATTTCTCTTTGGAGAAAGTCAATTAAAGAACGAGGTAAAATCATTATCACATCAAGGGAAATCTGGGTTAAACTTATTTTTGCTTTTAACTAAGTACAACAAAACACATGTGTTAAAATGGAAGGAACAAATGAAGAAGAGAGATGGAAGGTGCAGGAGAAAAGGGAGATGATTGATAGAGCAGGATTCTAGAGATCCAAAAGAGAGGATTATGAACACTGGTTACAGATTTAGACGCTCCTCTCCATAGCAAGAGAGGAAGAGTTGTAGTAAAGGTACAGAAACATTTTTAGACAATGGGAAAGACATTTTAGATTACATCAAAAAGCCTTAATCTTCTCTGGAAAGTGTGAGGCCCAGAGATAAATGCACATGCCCTGCAGGAAGGATGGGGTAAAAAGCCTGTCGAATGACCTCTTGATTATATGCAGCAGCTATTGTATTTATCCAAACTTGAAATGTATATTTAAGCTAGTTAAACACTGAAGCTTTCTGAACCTGCTTCTCTTTATCCTTAATTTTTAATTGCTTTTGTCAAAATCTTCTCTGTATTTTATTACAGTGTCACAGAGCAAATAATAGGCCACATGATAAAGAAGGAAATAAATAAGTAAGCAAATAAATAAATAAATAAATGGGGAGAAAACTTACTCTAAGTCTTTTTTTTTTTTTTTTGGAGCTCTGGTAGCATAGTGGCTAAGACACTTGCCTGCTAAACAGACGGCTGGCGGTTCAAACCCACCAGCCACTCCTCGGAAGGAAGGTTGGGCAATCCATTTCATAGTGATACTGCCTCGGAAACCCAAGGAGGGGTCGCTATGAGTCGGGTTTGACTCGACGGCACAATACAACAACAAGAAGAAGTCTTTTTTATTCATTCAAACTTGTGTCCCTTTCTAGCCCTTGACAGGAGGTACCCTCATGTTAGAATATACTTTCAGTCCATTTATAATCTGCTTTTAGTTTTCATTTGGATTACTACTTTGTTTTGCAGTGCTGGAATTTCTTGATTGGAGAAATGTCTTCAAAGCCAGAGGAGGATAAAGAGAGGCTGGCTCAAGCTGCCAAAATGTTCTTCTTTCACATACAAGATATTGCTTCCTTCACCAACAGACTTATTGAATTGTTTAATCGCAATATGAATACCCAGATTATCTTGACGGCTGTGAAGGAAGATGATGACGTTAAGAATTTCTTTGAATAAATGCTCAAAATTGTTATGGAAATGCAATCTGCAGTGGATGCAGTGAACACAAACATGCAAAATGAGCCTTTATATTCTAAGATTGCAATGGCTGTGTCCTCTGTGGTTGAGCAGAGTACCAATGTAAAGGAATTGCATCAGTCAGCCAAAAAAGTGTTCAAAAATGCCCACATGCCACTCATTGCCTCTGTTCTGAGTCATGGCAATGTCCTTGGGATTTTGGTATCTTCTATTACACTCTTGATGAAATTTCCCATCATGAATCTTCGATTGAGTGACTTCTACAGGAAAGACATCAAAGAGCAGTCAGATGCCACCACATCTGGGAAAAGTACGAGTTCAGGTCCCGAAACCAACACAACATATAACTTGAAAAAGTTGCAGGATGCACTAGAAGATGAGAATGCCAAGAATCCAATACAGTCAGCTGCAGATCAGTTGGAGCAAATAATTAAGACTATGGGGCCTGTGTTAGAGATCCTCCAAAAAGCCACAAAGACTATGGTGACCAATATTTCCCTGTTTAAGAAAGTTAGTGACAAGTAGGAGCACAACAGCAATTTAGATCATTTCAGAAAATCAATTCAAATTTTAATGATTTTTCAGAGTACTTTCTAACATCTTTTGATGACAGATTTGTGGGTCTTTTGGAACGTAAGTGCAGAGTGCAGTCACCTGGCAAACCATTTACCTCTAGTTGTGCTTTATTAAAATAGTGAAGAAAGCCTGCTTGAAATGAGTTACTGAAGAAACTATATGGCTCAAAAGATCAAGGTAATAGTACATTTGAGTATCTTTCTCAACCCACTGCTGTCGAGTCGTATCCAACTCATGGTGACCCCTCCTTGGGTTTCCGAGGCACCATCACTACGGAAGTAGATTGCTCAATCTTTCTAAACATTATATTTCACCTTAGAGTATAAATAGAATAATCATTAACGTATTGTCACTCTTAGCAATTCTATTTCTAGTTACTACAGTTTGAAGTCTAGGTAAATGTAAACATTATTATCAGTCTGTCAGAGAAGACTTTTTAGGCTTAGGAAACATGAAGTAAAATAATCATTTTCGTTTTTGTCACTTATATACTGATTTCCATACATGTCAGCACTTTGCTCATCATAAGCCATCACTAAATATATTTTACATATGATTAGTCCAGAAGTAAATAAGAACAGTGAATGAGCAATAATAGAAAATTTGCTTGTTTATATGACTAGGATTAGAGTACATGGTTTATTCTTGTTTGTCTCCTACTAAAGTCTTATGATTAGGACATACTGAAAATGGAGGCACTCCTAACCATTCACAGAGAAGAGGCTATAACATTTGCAAAAGTAGAATTTCTGAGATGCATTTGTATTAGGGAAAAAGAGCTAGGAAAATCCACTTGCTTACCATTAAGCTTTTGCCCCTCATGTGTCATAAATGAGGACTGCCCTTTAAGTTACCATTTCACATGATACCTAATGGGAACTTTGTTGAGAACAAGAAAGAAAATGATGAACTCTTGCTCTTCATTGGAATTTCTTTCTTAAGATACCAAAGAGTTTTTTCTCATTTAAAAATAGAAATCTCATATTCTCATATAGAAAGAAAATACATTTCACTGTTCCAAACAGAACAATGATAAAAAAAAAAAAAAAAAAGCCTGAAGAAAGAGAAACTAAAGGGAAAGAAAGGAAGTGTGAATGTTTGATGGAGAGCGAGGAAGCAGGTGTTCTACTTACATACTCGCTGAAATTTCCCTTGGTTGTCAGCCTCACTCCAGAGCCCAGTTCCAAAGCCAAGGTTACCTTTATAATTACCATTGGAATTTTCAACAAGGGACCCCTCCTTTCTCCCCCACACCCCCAAAACAATAAGATCTTCAGAATGTCCTGTGGAAAGGGACAGGTACTTAGAAGGCCTGGAAAAAGAATGAATTTCAGTACATTAATCCTGCATTTTCTCTTAGCACTAAAGCTGAAACCTTGCTCATGTGCAATAGGGATCCATTGTTGTTATGTGCCGTTGAGTCGGACCTGACTCATAGCGACCCCTCCTTGGGTTTCTGAGGCAGTATCCCTACGGAAGTAGATTGCCCGACCTTCCTTCTGAGGAATGGCTGGTGGGTTTGAACCACCAGCCTTTTGGTTAGCAGTCAGGCGCCTTAGGCACTACGCATTAGCTGTCTTATTTTGAGGAAGATACTGAGCTTATTTCCTCTGCTGCCCACCCCTCAAGAAAACAAATATATCAATGAGAGGAAGGCAGTGGGTGTCTTTACTACTCTTTCTGAGCCTCTGTGTGTTTAGAGTTTCACTTTTCTCCTCTTGACTTTAGGGTTATGTCCCAGAATGTTGCAAGTGCTTGGGAGGGATTAGAAATGGACAAGGACTAAACTAAGAAGAGTCTTGTGCAGAGTCTTTCTGTGAAATGACTGAAAGAATGGTGACAGTTTGAGGGAAGTCTTACTAGATGCCAGTGAGAATGGCAGCTAGCTTAGTCCCTTGATATTAGAGATGAGTGGTGCCAATTTCAGTAAATATGGCAGTTGTCAGATGCTCCTGTGAGGCTGGCTGTTATTCACAGCGCCTCTCAGATGTTTGTCTACCACTGGGCACCACCAGTCTTCCCAATATGATGACTTGTATGCTGCTGCTTCTCAGGATATGGAAATATTGGAGGGAAAGCTGCACTCTTCTCAAACCTATTACTTTCACTTAACATTTATCTCAAATACTTTAGTCTTAGGTTCCTCTAATTTTCTGGAAAAATCCTTCAGATTTTGAGGAACAAATTGAGTAAATCACTTGTTTCTGTGTTATGTCTGGTCTCATTTTTCCTCTGAGTCTGTGAACACAGTCTGGTCTAACTATTTGAATGGAGCATAAATGGTGAGGAAAAAGTAAATTACCATAAAACAAAACAAAATAAAACAAACAAAACACGAGCTATTTACTAGATAAAGATAGTTTAATACCATTTTTTTTTTTTTTCTTTTTCACTTCTTATCTGTCGCCAGTGTGTGATACATCTTGGTATTTGTGAAAGTACCTTGCTCAATAGATGCTGAATTTTACATGAATTTTACCAAATCAAGAATTAGTTCATTCAGTGTAAGTCAGTTTGGTTCAAATCATTAGGTAATTCAGGCCAGGAATCCTGAGAATCTTGATTGACTGAGAATATCAAAGTGTGCAAAAGTTTTCTTTTGTTAGCTTGATGTCTTTTAAAAGTAGGAGTAAATAGGCAACTTTAGGACAAAGAGATAGGCATATTAGAGATAACATTGTGTTGTAAGATACAAATAAAATATTAAATGGCTGTACAATTGCTTAAAGGGCAAGGAGGCCACATGTTCCGACCTCCTCTAACCCCATAAGAGGAGGACAGAATCACCATCAATAGCCCAAGGCCTATTACTGCAAGGCCAGACATGCTGCCTCCCTCCAGCCCTTTCACCAACTGTTCCTCCCAAAGCACCACCACCTCTCTCCTGGGTGATAATTCGCTGCAGTGGCCACACAGAACTCACAGATTATGGGGTTTATTAGGGAAGCACCACAGGCTACAATTTAAGTTCAGGAAAAATGCTCAGTCTCTCTCAGCTCGCCGTCCCTCAGCCAATAGTCTCTCACAGTCTCTCTCCCAGCAGTGCATGTCCCTTGGTGTCTCACTCAGCAATGCGTGTCTCTTGCATCTCTTTCCCAGCAGCACATCTTCCTCAGCCGGCAATCAGAGAGAAACTTCCTCTGCCTCCAGGAGGCCGCCTTTTGAGCCTGGCCTGGTGGCCAAACTAACCAATCATAACATCAGAATTCTAAGTACCTGAGAGAGAGCAGGAACCTCCCAGAACATTGCTTTGTGTTGTGCCCAAAAGAAATACCGCAGGTGGATAACTTTTACAATCAGGAGCACCTCAGTTACTCACAGAAAATTCCACTACAGAGTTTACAAAGACTTATGACTAGAAAAGCCATACCAGGTAATTTACTACACCACAACAATGGATCCCTATTATACAGACAAAGTGAAGAGGTGCAGATAATACTTTGATAAAGTTACTATAAGAGAGAAAAACTATGCAGTCTGACAGTATATGTTAACAATCTGTAAATTTACACACAATTGAGGGTCTATTTTATCTTCAGAAGATACCCCAGTCTAACAAAGGAGTAGAAATTACTGTGAACTCTTTGCATCTGTTCTCCTAAAGTTTCATGAACATTTAACTTAGACTTTGAATCAATTTAAATTAATGGCCCACTTTATAAGCTTCTTGCTCAAAAATTTTGGACTATAGGGAGAGATTGAAGGAATGCACATTATGTATATTCATCCTTAATCAAACCTACAAATCTATATAATTTCAAAAGAATCATTTCTGTCTCTAGGGATTTGTTCTGTCAAGTAGCAGCCAGAGATGAAGAACAAAGTTATCTTTTTAAAAATCTGGTTATTCTCTAATGGGCCATAACCATGTAAGTCACAGTGGTTCTCAAATGTTAACATACTGCAGAATCACCTGTGGGGCTTTTTAAAACACAAATTACAGGATGTCATTTAGAGTTTTTAGACCATAGATTTGTGATCAGTCCTAACCAACATTTCTAACAAATTCCTAAGGGGTCCTGATGCTGCTGGTTCCAGGAGCACAGTTTCTTTTTCTAAGTTTTTTTTTATTTTGGTGAAAGTATATACAGCCAAAGATACACCATTTCCACAATTTCTACACGTACAATTTAGTGACATTGGTTACATTCTTCTACCACCATTATCTTAAACTCCCTGCCCCCTAAACTTGCCACCTAAGCTTTTGAATTGCCATTGTCAACTTAATCTCACATTGATAATTATTTAAAAGAGTACAGTGCTCAAAGCAGATGTACTTTACTAATTAAAATAAGCTTTGGTTCAAAGAAGATCTCAGCGGATAGTTTTGGTATTTAAGGTTTAAAGTGTAAAGATTATCTCAGGGTAATAGTTTCGTGGGCTCAGCCAGGATCAGTGGTTTCAGGGTATCTGGATTCCATGAAAATTTTAAATTTTGTTCTACATATCCCCCCTTTTGATCAGTATTCTTCCACAGAATCTTTTATCAAAACTTTCAGTAATGATACCCGGGCACCATCCAGTTCTTCTAGTCTCGTAACAGAGGAGGCAATTGTTCATGGAGGGAACCAGACATCTATTTGATTTCTTCCTTGAATTCCTAATTGTCCATCTTCCTCTGTTGACCCAGGACAAAATTTAGGAGGAACTAATTTAAGAGAATTGTTTTACCCAAAGCAGCCCTGGTGGCACAGTTGGTTAAAGCATTTGACTGCTAACCAAAAGGTCAGTGGTTCAAACCCATCACATGCTTTGTGGGAGAAACATGAAACATTCTGATTCTGTAAAGATTTACAGTCTTGGATGCCGGCATCTCTGGGGAAATTCTACTCTGTCCTATAGGATCATTATAAGTTGGATTATACTTGATGACAGTGGAGGTCTTTCCAAACACCTCTGTGATTTCTGATGGGTTCAAAGACTTAAGGCTGGCTTTTTAGCATAACCAG